AGAGCAGCTGGAAACAGAGCCTGGGGCAGTCACGGGGCCAGGGAAGGGACCAAGGACATCCACAAGAGGTGGGCCAGGCAGAGACAGGAGGGGTGATCAGCAGGGACGGCCCAGCAGCAGGGAGGGAGAGAGGGCGTCCGGCCTGAGAGCAAGCCACAGCGGCTGGACCTGAGGGGTGATAGGGCACTGGGGACACCTGTCCCTCTAATTTCCATCTTTATTTAATGAGTTCCCATCACCTTTTTCTCTGGTCCTGTGGATGGAGCTTGGGACGCTCCACCTCTGAGCCCCATCTAAGGGGGGACAGGGGTGCCGGGGATGGAACTCAGGGGCACTGACCACTGAGCCACACCCCAGCCCTATTTTGTATTTAGAGACAGGGTCTCACTGAGTTGCTCAGCGCCTCTCTGTCACTAAGGCTGGCTTTGAACTTGTGACCCTCCTGCTGTAGTCTGATGGCACTTTTATCGTGAAGTTTTAAAAAGAAACAAAGCTGCTTCAAAGCTCTCGGGGGCGTTCATGAGAACGTGGCCCTGGGCGCGGAGCCACACCGGTCCCTGCTGGTCTCCCAAAGCCACAGCCAGGAGCAGAGGTGCCCGTTCCCATCACAGCTGCAGCCACTCAGGGACCAAGGCCTTCCCCTGGGTTCCCCTGAGCACCACCAAGACACAGAGGACACAGACCCAGGGGGCAGAGCCACTGTCCTCGCCGGCTGGCTCATCAGGATGATGTCCCCAGCTGCTCTGTGGTGCACACCTGATCCCAGCCCTCTTTCCAGAGCCCCACCCCTTCAGGGGACAGAGGATCTGAGGTCCCACACCTGCCCTGCCTGGTCCACGCTCTCCGATTCTCCCTCTGGCATGGTCCCCTCACAGAGGAGCCCTGTCTCAGACCTTCCATGGAGAGCAGAGGTGGTCAGGGCAGCCCCTGGGCTCCAGGCTCCTCCACGGGACACCCTGAGCCCCATTCCCGGGCAGATGGAGTCAGGGCCTCCCAGCTGCTCTCTGGGAAGTGGCCTCCTTCCCTCTGCACCCAGCCTCCTCTTCAGCCTCATTTTATACATGAAAAAGTTGAGGCCCAGAGAGGCGAATGGTGGGCTCAGGGTCACCCGGGGCGAGGGGCAGAGCAAGGGTCAGAGCCCACCCCCCTTAGAGGGACCATCCCTGGACAGAGGCAGGGGATTCCAGCGCTCAGAACCCACAAAGTGGTGGCTGGTGCTTCAGACTCCAGACGCTGATTCTCTCTGGGACCTGAAGTTGCTTTCAACCGCCTCCTGCCCCTTGTGAGAACTCTCCCCCGTGACCTCTCTCAGTGCTGGGCAGGGGGACAAAGCCGCAGCCCGGGGTCTGGTGCTCAGGAATGGGCTGAGAGTCCTTCGGTTTAATACACGCCACCCCACACAGCTGACCTCATAAATATCATTAGATCCTGCAGCGTCCACTGGCCCGTGGGCTCTGGACGTGAGGAACTCTATCCTGCTCCCAGCGCGGCAGGTGGAAATAGTGTGAACCAAGATATGTCCCCGGCAGAGCCAACATCTGAAGGCCCGTCTCCTGGCAGATGGCAGCAAAGGGATCGCTGACCCACACACCCTGGCCGCTGCCCGCCCACTGGGAGGCCAGAGCAGCCTTTGGGCTTTGGTTGGGGGCAGACAGACAGGTGTTTGGTGTATTGTGACCTTGGGTAAGTGACTTGGCTTCTCTAAACTTCAGGTTTTTTCACTTTCTTTTTAAAAAAAAAAATGACAATGGGATGTATTTTAGTAACATATGTCACTGGAACATACGTGCAGTGTCCAGCTGAAGACCAGGCACAGTATTAGGACCAAAGGAAGAGAGGCGGCAGGTCAGTGTGGGGTGGGAATCATCCATCTACCCAAGAACCTCAGCCCCGTTCAGAATAAGAAAGTGGAACCTAGGGGAGAATTCTGCGCCCTGTGGCTGCCCGACGGCTCTCACGAGGGGCAGGAGGCGGTTGAGGGTCTCAAGCCCAGAACAGCAACGTCGGGTCCCAGAGAGAATCATCCTCTGGATTCTGAGGCACCATGGAGCTTACCAGGGACCAGGGACCGTCCCTGGTGACCAGCACTCCTGGGTGCTCCCAAGACCCACCTCAGCCACCACTTTGTGGGTTCTGAGCGCTGGAATCCCCCACTTCTGTCCAGGGATGGACCCCCTCCCATGGTCTAACCTTCCACCACACCCCTAAGCTTGAGGGCACCTCATGACCCAGGCCTCGGGTCCCCTCACGCTCCACAGTGGCTGGCTCAGGGCTGATGGGGGACCAGCCCAGCTGCCCCCACCTGTGAAACATACCTCTGGGGCTTTTGATCAGGATTTCACAGCCCTTCCCCCACAGGACTCCGACCTGAAACTTTACAGCCCAGCCAGGGACAGTCCTCGTCCAGCCCACACAAACCAAGAGGAGGAAGTGGCCAAGGCAGGACAAGGTGTTGCCAGGAACACAGACAACAGGCATCTTTATGGCTGTGGTTGGGTTCTGGATCAAGCCATACCTGAACCTTCATGGGCTTTTCAGTTCCATGATTAATAAAGCTCCACTTTTTTTTTTTTTTTTTGACTGATAAGCTCGTGATTTGGCGTTAAAGCTCTTACACAATTAGCCAAACTAACAAAATGAAATCTGCTTGAATAAGCAAAAAATTGAGAGCAAAACAAACTGGATGATGTCTTACTATGTTCTATCAGCCTGTAGGATACTCCTATCCTACTTCAAGTATTGCGGGTAAAAGACACTTCAGAATTCAAGTTTCAATCTCATTTCTCCACCTACTTTCTAGCTGTGTGATCTTGGACAAGTCACCAAAACTCTCTGAGATTCTGTTTCTTCAAACCTTTGGGAACTAGGTAAGGATGAAATGAGATCATGTGCATAAAGCACTAGATACACATTAGGCGTTCAATAAATGTGTGGTGTAAATCCATCCATTTACCCAATTCAGGCAATGCCATCTGCATTTATGTAATTATAGGGGCATGAGGAGACCTATGAGGACAGAGAAAAAGGACATCCTGGTTCCCAAGGATCTACTCATGACGGATGCTGTCCCCAGTTTTTATGGCTCTTACCAAAGAAGCAGGGTAGGATAGTAAAAAGAGAAACCACTTTGAAATCAAAGAAACCTGCGTATGTGTCCTACCTCCGCTCCGTGATCTTAGGCAAATTGCCTGACCTCTCTGAGCCTTATCATTTCATTAATAAAATGGGAAAGCTATTGTTTACCTTTTGAAAGGATATTAGGTTGTGAAGCTATGTACACCATCCCCACCCAGCACAGTGTTCAACAAATAACTGACCATCTGCCCAGGCTCAAGCTAGGGGTCCTTCCCAAAGGACAGTCCGCAAGCCTCTGCTAGGTTCCCACCTTCCTGAGCTCAGCCAGGCCACACCTTCAACTCCTAAAGCCCCGTGTCCAGCCCTGGCCTCTCTCCAGAGCAGCCCTCTGGGCCTCTGCACCAGAATATCTTCCAGGCTCCGCAGTCACAGCACCAGGTCTGGGCTTCTCCCTGCTCTGTGATTTGGGTCAGTCCCCTTGGGCTTGGTCTGCAGTTGCGGCTGGTTGTGGCTGATCTTATGGCTGTGCACCTGGGATCCTGAGCTTCTCAACTCTTGCACATCTCTGCCCGTGCACTGGGCACCACTTTCTCCCTGTACCGGTTCAGACACGGCACCCCCTTTCTGCAAAGAGCCCAGGCTTGGTAACTTAGAGTCACCTAGGATTGTCCCCATAGATTCTCCCTCGGTGCCCAAGTCTGGAAGATTCTCCCTTGGAAATACCACCTTATCTGTAGGCTCTGATGCCACCGTCAACCTGCCCAGTCTCCAGCCCCAGCGTCCCACTTCCAGTCCACCCTCCCAACTAGGAAGCCAGTGGTCAACAAGGGACAATGGAGCCTCCCTCCCACCTAGCCTCTGCCTGGAGGCTGGACCTCCCAGGCTGCTGTCAAAACTGGGCTCCAGCAGGGCACTGTGGTGCACACCTGATCCCAGTGACTCGGGAGGCTGAGGCAGGAGGATCTCAAGTTCAAAGCCAGCCTCAGCAACTTAGTAAGACCATGTCTCAAAATAAAATATATTTTAAAAGGAGGCCTGGGGATGTGGCCCAGTGGTGAAGGATACCTGGGTTCAAACCCTGGTACCAGAAAACAAACAAACAAACAAACTGGGTTTGGGCATCAACATCATGCTTTGGAGACTCCTTTCCCAGGGATGAGGAGAGGAGCCACTCCCGGTGCTCATATTCTTTCATGCTTCTCAAACACACCCCTTGAGGACCGTCACCAAAGCCAAGGCAGACCGTGTCAGAGCCCTTTGCATGTCATGAGCACACTGGGCTTCGCTCCAGAGAAGTGCATTTGCATGTGACATCTCGCATCCAGTTTCAGGGGTGCACACCCCCCGAAGCATACAGAGCACAGCTTGCCCCCATCAAGTGTGTTTTACAGAGGAGGACTGAGACAACTGGAAGAAGGGACCTGAGCAGGACAGGCGAACTGCCTCCCTCCGCCAGGCCGTGATCATCACAGGAAAGCATGGTGTCCACTCCAGCCCCGTCGTAGCTGTGAGCGGAGTGCTTGCTACATTGCCCACCTCGGCAAGGGCTTCGGGTGGAGCCAGAAGATGACAGCACAAGGGAAGCTGGCCCTGTCCCTTGCACACGGGATAATTCCCTTTCCTCCCTTCCTGGAAAGCTGTAGAGGGAGGAAATGTGGCCGCCTCCAGAGTGGTCAGGGAAGGCTTCGTGGAGGAAGCCGGCCTGCCGGGGCTGCGCGCTGGTGCTGGGGACGCAGGGCCAAGCGTTATTAATAGGCCTGGCTCAGTGGGCCCAGGGAGGTGAATGTGATACAGACACCCAGTACCGGGGCTGGGGAGTACCCGACACCGGAAGGGGAGGGGGCTGGGGGCCGGGGGAGCGCCACCTCCCAGAATAGCCAGGAGGGAGCCTATTTAAGAGGCCAGCCACCCCCAGGCTCACTCCCCGCAGGACTCCCACCAGCCCCACTTTCAGTGCAGGCTCCTGCCGTCCACTCCCACCCGAGGTGAGTGGCAGCTGGGTGGGTGGTGACCCTGGGTGGCCGTGGAGTCTAGGACTAGAGTGAGTCCTGAGCACTCCGCCCTGGCCCTAGGTGAGCCGGGCAATGCCTCCCCTTGGCCTGGTCGCAGGTCCCCATCTGTCCAACACGAGGGTGGAGCCAGACACCTGTGAACTCTCGCGATGCCACCAGAGGGGCAGGGGGGCAGGAGGAGGGGGCGTGGAGGCCTGGTGTCCACCTGGCCTGAGGGCCGTGGAGCTGAGGGAGACCGGAGGAAGGAGGGGAAGAGCCAGGCTGGGCCCCAGGTGCAGGACTTGGGGACCCTCAGGAGCCAGAGTGTGTTTTGGTCACATGAGACTCCACTGGCCCTGGGCACTAGGGAGGAACACTAGGGGGGGTCACTGAACTCCAGGGGAGGGGACCCTGGGGTGGTCCTCTCACTTGGGCTAATCACAGACCCTTTCTAGCCTCCGTTCCCCCATCTCTACTGCATGAGGGTCCTTGGCCAGGACACCAGATTCTCCCACAAGGCCCTTGAGCAGCGCCTGGGAGTTGAAATGAAAACAGGCCGCCCAGCTGGGGCAAGGGGCAGGGCGGGGCAGCAGGGCAGCAGGGCCAGGGCAGCCGAGGGCCCAGAGGCCTCACGCCCAGGGGTATCTGGCCAGGACTTCAGCCTGGGCTCCTTGGACGCCAGCTGGCTGTGGGCTGAAGGAGCTGACTCACCGGGAGGGGGCAGCTGGAGCCAGCCACTCCTAAGGCTTCCAGGAAGGGCACCAGCCAGGCCTGAGCCGGAGACGGTGTTGACAGTGAGTGTCAGGGAACTTGAGCTACTGGGCAGCTGGGCTGCTGTCCCTGGTCCCCACACCAAGGGCCACCACAGTCCCAGCCCTTGCCCATCTGCCTAAGTTGGAGTCTCAAGGTCCCACTAACAGGGACAGGGGTGGGGACCACCAGCCCTTCCAACACAACAGAGGGAGACACAAGCCTAGAGATGAAGGTCCTTTCCCAAGGTCACATGGGGACTCAGTGCAGCCCCAGACCAAGGTCCAGGCCCCTGTCCAGGGCTCACCCTCGAGAGGCAGCCGCTGCAGCCAGGATGTGTGGGAGACCTTGGGCAGGTGCTGCTGGCACTGGCCTCATTTCCCAGAGGGGGCTTTAAGACCATGAAGCTCGCTGGGTGGCCAGGAAGTGTGGTCTGAAGGTGTCACCTCTCCCCCAGGTGAACACCAGCCTCCCGAGAGCTTGCATGGACATCCAGGTAGGCTCCATGCCCCCAGCCTCCCCAAAGAGGTTTGTGGGACAAGGGGCATCTGACCCCAGATTCCCGGATAGGGGAGACCAGGAAAGTAGTTGATGGAGCTCCAGGAGCCGCTTTGTGAAAAGTCAGGCTGGGCAGGGGGGAAAAAAAAAAAGGCCCCGTTAAGGTGTGCCTCCCTGGTCAGATGTGGGACGCAGCTCCAGCTGAGAGCTTGGGCAGCTCTATCTGTCCCTGTCCCCACCACCCCTTCCTTGGTCTGTGGATCGGGTTTCCTAGCCTCAGCGCTCAGCTTTTGCAGCAAAAATTTGCATCTAGGACAGACAAGAGGTTTGCATCGGGGTGGAGAGAGAATGGGTGCCGAGCCGAGGGGTCCACGGGGTAGAGGCTGGACCCTGCGTGTCCAATTATCTTTCCCTAAAAGGGATGTCCTTCGAGGTGCCCAGATTCGAGCGGTGCCTCCTGCGTGCCCTTGACGGCAGGCGAACTCCCCAGACCCGGCTGATGGCGCGGGCGCCCCCTAAATTCCCGAGGGCGTGCTTCCCGGGGCGACCTGGCCGCAGACCCCGGGATCTGAGGCGGTCGGGGCCTGCGCTGCGGGAGCAGGTGGGCTGCGGGGCGGCGGCGCAGCAGGACTGAGCGGCTCCGGCTGCGCGCAGAGCCCGGCGCCCCCTGGCGCGGTGCCAGGCCAGGCGGGCGTGCGCCGGGCGTGCGGCACTGCAGCGCCGGTCATATGAGCAGAAATGATGAGAAAAGCACTTTTTAATCTTTTCGCACTTGCTCTGCCCGCTCAAACAGTTGCAGGATGTCGATGACAGACTTGCTCAGCGCTGAGGACATCAAGAAGGCGATCGGAGCCTTTGCTGGTGAGAGCGCGCTCCCTCCCCATCCTCTCCTTCCATCCGTCACCTGCGCCCTGCGCCCCGCAGCCGGCAGCCAGCCAGTCCCCTGCAGCCTCTGTCCACGCGTCGGAAGGGTCGGGTTGGGGTGGTCCTCCGCGTTTCCCAAACTCCGAGGGCCGGAGGGGACTTGGGGCGGGCTGCGCGGCGGGGAGGCGGGCTGCCCGAGAGCAGCGAAACTTAGGGGCGCAAAAGGGCCGACCCGGGACCAAGGGCAAAGACCCGGGTCGAAGGAGGGACCTTGGGAGTTCTTTCGCGCTCTGGGGTTTCCTCTGAAGGCTCCTGGAGGGAACGCAGGCGTGCCTCTCTCTAAGGGACCCTTTTCTGGACAAGACTTTTCCCTGAAAGAAGGTGGCCCATTGTTGAACTACGAGAATGTCCGAGCTCCCTCCCTGGGCTTCAAAGTCCCCTCCCTGGGTAGGTCCCTGTCTCACTCCGGCACTGCGATCTTCCCGATCTTCCCGTGGTGGATGCTGCAGCGGTGCCCAGGGCGTCCTCCGCGGCCCATCGCCCCCCACCCCCCACTCCACCGGGGCTTCCAGCCGGTTCGAGGCTCAGGGAAGGGCAGCCCCCCCACCACCTCTCAGACTGCCAGGGATCTAGTGCCTGGCCACCGCCGACCTTCCCACTCCCCTGTCACCACATGGGGAAACCTCGGCTAGGAGAGGACCCGAGACTGGGCCAAGGTCATCTAGCCAGGCAGAAGAGGAATGAGAACTGGGGTGGCCTCCAGAACTTGGTCCCCTACCTTAGAGTGAGGGTTACAGAGCCACGTCCCCTCCTGCCAGCTCTGGACAGAGGGAGAACCTGGCACCCCCACACACACACTCACACATAAGGTACATCACCCCCATTGCACCCCCCTTCCAGGGGTTCTAAAAAAGGAGCTCAAGACAAAATGGGGGGGGGCTAGCAGAGAATCCTGTGTCCTTTCTGCTTGGCACCTTCTCCCCTGGACACAGGAAGCTCTGGGGAGTCACCCTCCTGGGGCATTGTGAGAACCACCTATGTAGCCTTGAGCCACCTTGTCATCTCTAGGAAGAAACTGAACTGGGCTTTTGTCACACGCACACACACACACACACACACTCATATCACACACTCATACACACACACCAACACATGCACGCACACACACACACTCATATCACACACTCGTACACACACACACACACACACACGCTGCCACTGGAATGAATCTCTGTGACAAAGCCAGGACTCTTGGGTCCTCCCCTCTTCCTCTCACTATGTGACCTTGACAAACACTTGTCCTCTATGTCTATCTTCTGTGTGGCCAAGAAAGAAGGTTGCCTCTCCCCGGCCCCAGTGCACACACCGGGTTCACACCAGCTCACTTCCCAGCCTGCTGTCACCTAGGACCCGCCAGAAGGCTGCATGGAGAGGGTCTCGGGAGGCCAAGGTCTCCCTTTGGTTCCTGGGGGCTCCCTATTTGCAAAAGATACCGGTGAGGGGGCTGGGCAGGCTTGAGAGACGTGACCTTGGACAAGCACCTTTCCCAGTCCTCCCACAGGACTGTCCTCCCTGCCCACGCCTGGCAGTGGAGTCACCCGAACACCAGGACACCCCTCCCCGGCCTTCCTGGGCCTCCTCTTGTCCTCATTTTCACCCGCTCCTCCCACCAGCTGTCGACTCCTTTGACCACAAAAAGTTCTTCCAAATGGTCGGCCTCAAGAAAAAGAGTGCGGACGACGTGAAGAAGGTGTTCCACATCCTGGATAAGGACAAGAGCGGCTTCATCGAGGAGGATGAGCTGGGGTAAACTGAGGCCTGAGGGGACTTCCGGCCGGAGGCCCAGGGAGGAAGGGAGGGTGGTGGCTGGAACCCCCCCTTCCCAGTCCCCACCAGGGCTGCCCTTTCCCTGGCACCCTTCACAGAAAGCAAGGGCTCAGGCCCAGGGTACAGGGGGAAGATGCTCACGGCACCGTCGCTTCCGGAAGAATCAACCCCTCAGCTCAAAGTGCAACTAACAAGGTTAAATTATAGCCACTTAATACTGCTAATGGAATGATGCTTCTTAATAATTCAATACAAACCAAGAGGTGGTTTTCCTGCTCGCTGGCACCGTAGGCACAGCCGGGGGCTTGGTTCCTGTAAGTGCTGCCCTGATTCCCAGTCGAAAAGGCACCTTCTGTCTGTGCAGACCCCACCCCTTTTGGACCAGGGTGTCGACAGCAACTTCTGGGCAAGCCAGGGGCCCAGAGCCAGCCTTGGGGATTCAGGGGTCCTTGGAGCCAAGCAACCAGGAAAAGGCACTGACTAAGAAGATTTGCAAAACTGCATCTGGGAAGAGCCCTCCCATCCTCCCCGCCCCGGCCACCTGGCCCATGTCTTCTGCCAGCTGTGCCTTAGGATGTCACTCTGTCCAGGACTGCCTTGGATTTCATCCAAAAGAGCAAAAAGAGGGAGGAGAGAGGGTTCCTACTTAAGGAGAACTCCCCCCACCTATCTTGTCTCCCCCAAACCGTCCCACAAGGGTTGCCTCTGCCTGGGACCGTCTCCTGCCCACCCACACCGGGCACTAGCCTCTCCCTGCCCTCCAGGCACCACCTTCTCCAGGAAGCCTCCCCACAGTGTACCCATCCCACCACATGTCCCTCCTGGAGTACGTGACCTCCTTCCCATTGATTCAGGTGGCTTCCTGAGACCACCACAGTGTGACCGGCTTCCAGCCTATAGCTCGCCAGAGAAGTCATTTAGTAGTTGTTTATTGAATAAATAAAGAAATGCAGGGTCCCCCCCCCCCCGCAAGTAGGCCAGCCTGTCCCCCAGCCCACTTGCTCACCAAGGCCCAGCTGCACACACGCTCTCTGCGCGCTGCCTGTCCCCGCTGCGCTTTCCCCTCACGGACACAGCACCATTTCCTGGCCGGGAGCCCCTAAGCAGTGGTTCCGTAACCCTGAGTCCCAAATGCCTCAACTGTAAACTGCCCAGGATACCACCCATACGATGTCCCTCCTGGGTGACCTTGACCTGACTCCCTCCTCATCTGTCTCCCTTTCCTCCTCCAGATTCATCCTAAAAGGCTTCTCCGCAGACGCCAGGGACCTGTCTGTGAAGGAGACCAAGACACTCCTGGCCGCTGGAGACAAGGACGGGGACGGCAAAATTGGGGCTGACGGTGGGTAGCACATTGTGGATTCTGGGATGTGTGGATGCTGGAAGTTCAGAGCCGTGTCTGTCACCAGGAAGGGGAGCCTGGGGGCAAGGGCTCCCGTTAGGTCTAGCCAGGCAGAGAAAAGCTGCTATGGAGTTCCAAAGTCAAGCCCAGTGAGTCTCACGCATGCTGGGTGGGAATCCAGGAGAATTTAGGATTTTTCCACTACTTTGCCCAGAGTCGGGTCCTGCACTGGCTGTGTGACCTTGGGCAGTCTCTCTCCCTCTCTGAGCCTGAGGCTCCTATAGGTAATCTAAGGAGATGAGGCCAGCTGATCCCCAAGGACCCTCTGGCTCCCATTAGTCTCAGATCCCAGGGATGGAAAATCCTGGTTTCCTATCCTCTGCAGCATCTGACCCTGGTGTCCTGTAACCTTGAGCCTCAAGACAGCTTTTAACTTCACTCAAATATACTCTTCTGGTATGACAGGACAGCCAGGAAAGACAGCCAGCCAGGAACCAGCCCCAACAAGCAAGAATGGTTCTCAAAGTTAGCTGTTGGCAGAGGCAAGGGGCCAGTGGGCCACCCGTCCCACACCCTTGCCCACTCAGCTGGACCTAGTATTCCTGGGGACACATTCCGGCATCACGTTTTACAGATGGCTAAACAGATGTTGAAGGGCTTGGTCCAATTCAAAGAGCCAGGACCTAGAGATGGAGCAGGGATTCAGAACCTGACCTGAATGTCCCCACTGCCACCCCCTCCATGACAGGCCTTTCTGACGGTCTAAGAGAAAACTGGGTGTCGGTGCCTCTGAGTTCCACTCCCAGCCACCTGAGCTTGGGGAAGTCCCGTAACTGCTCTGGGCTTCACCTTCCTCATCTTTGAGCTGAGGAGGATGAGGGTCTTAGAGCTGTCCTGAGGCCCAGGAGTGTTACTATGCAAAGGGCCTAGACGGGGCCAGGCGCAGAGCAGGTGCCGCGTGTTGGGAAACTAAGATGAAATCGGGACTAGATTGCCTTCGCCCTTGTGCCTCGGGTGTGGCCCACACCTGTCCCAGAGCAGGTGCTGCATGAATACCTGTTGCTCGAGTGTGAATTCCTGGCCCCCATTCTGCTTCCTCTCTGCCTTCCCTGGCGGATCTCTGGGGTGTCACCGAGTCCACCTGGCCTGCCTTGCCAGCCACAGGGCGGGCCACTTATCTCTGACCTGCTTGGGCTTGTCAGAAATTCAGTGGCTGCAGACCCAAAATCGCTTTGAGAAAGGTACAAGAATTCTGAAACTGGGTCTCGGTTTATTAACGTTTATTTTGGCTAGAAACGGGAACGGGGGCTCCCGACCAAGGTCAGACGCAGGGAGTGCCCTGGCCACCTGCCTTCAGCTTCCCTGCTTGCAGCTGAAGGAGGGAGGTGCTTTTCAAGGGACCTGAGTGGAGGGTCCTGGGAGGTGTTGGGCGCTGAGCTGCTCTGGGTGGCTCGGGTGAGTGACAGCTGCTCTCTGCCCCAGCTCCACCCCCAGCCCTGGCTCCACCTAGAGCTCAGCCCCAGCCTCCAGCCCACCTCCACGTTCCATTTTAATCTGCCGCCAGGAAGCCCAGCCCAGGTCTTCACGGCTGGCTGCTCCCAGGCAACCTGAATGGTGAAGAGAAACCAGGGCAGGCCCTCGCCTGGTTCCCTGCCTCCCTCTCCCTCCCGCCATACTCAGGTCTTAAAGAGCCAACTGAACTCTTCCAATAGACATTGTCTGAGCAGCAACTTGGTGTCCGGCAGGGAGGGGAAGATGAATTAGACCCAACTTAGAGTGGCACCATTTCCTGGCTGGGAGCCCCTGAGCAGTGGTTCCGTAACCCTGAGTCCCAAATTCCTCAACTGTAAACTGCCCAGGATACCAAAGAGTGCCTAGTGCAGTGTTTAGTAAGTGCTCAATAAACAGCAGCCAGGATGCTTTTTTTTTTTTTTTGGCACTAGGGATTGGACCCAGGGGTGCTCTACCTCTGAGCCACATCCCCAGCCCTTTTAATTTTTTAATTATGAGACAGGGTCTTGCTAAGTCACTTAGGGCCTCACTGAATTGGTGAGGCTGGCCTTGAACTTGCAATCCTCCAGCCTTGGCCTCCCAAGTTGCTCTGAGGACAGTTGCGTGGCACCATGCCCAGCTAAGATACTATATTCACTTCATCTGCACATTGCTCACGGTTCTGGAAACAAATGGCACTACAGGGTGAGTGTCCCTTATCTAAAAGGCTTAGGATCAAAAGTGCATCAAACTTTAGAGTTTTTCAGACTTCGGAATATGTGCATAGTCTCATGTTGGTATTCAAAAAGTTTTGGATTTCAGATGCTCAACCCGTACGAGGCAGAGCAGAGAGGTGTAGGCAGCGTGGGGGGCACTTCATGTGGACTAGGAGGCACTGGGCTAGGATGCCCCAGCAGTGGAGGGTCCAGGTATCAGCAAGGTGGTGAGACCAGTGGTGAGGAGATGGGTTCGCTGGGAGAGATGACAGTAGCTAGCTGGGCATGTAATGTGTGCCCAGGCCAGTGCTGGTCTCCGTTCAGTGTCACCTCTTTTACCCAGGAGGACATAGGTGCAGACACAGAAAGAGCAGTCAGGGAATCCAAGGCCACTTGGCCAGGATCCAACACGGTCTACGGAGGGCTTGGGCCAAGCCGAGGCTGACGGAGCTCTAATCAGGAGCCGGGGGTCTGGGGGGACCAGAGCAGCAGGGGCTGGCACAGGCCTTGACGACAGGCCCCCCGACAGTGCGCAGGCGTGGGAGGGGAGGCAGAGCCCTCTGTGGGGCCCAGGAGCCGTCACGGCTGGCACCCTGCGGCTTCCCCTAAGGCCCAGAGGGTCGGAGCCCACCTACCAGGGTGGGATGCTCTCTCCTGTCCTGGGACCCGGGCAAGTCACAGAGATCCCTGGCTTTCAGGGGGCCTGGTCTTTAAAACCAGCGTCAGGCCACTAGCCAATCCCTGGGGTCCCTTCCAGCCCTGGGATTCCACAGTATAATCCTCTGCACAAACGACCATGAGTGGGACTTAGACCAGCTGAGTGACTTAGTGACAACAGCGGTGACATCGAGCCTCATGGAGCACTTCAGGCATGCACAGTCCTTTACACATTTATCTTCCGGGCTATCCCTGGGGTGGACACTGTGACAATTCCCACTTTATAGACACGGAGGCTCAGAGAGGCCAGGCTTTGCCTGAACTCCCATGGGCCCGGAGAGGAAGGAGGCAGACCCGGGCACAGGTCGTAGGGCCCCAGGGCACGTGCCCCGCGGCCACCTCCTTCTCTCACTCAGGTTAGGCGAGCCCCGCCCATCAGATGACGGCTGTATTGACTTGCTGCTCGCTCCGCCCCCTTCACCGCATGGGCTCTGCAAAGCAGGGACATGGTTTTCTTCAGTTCTGATCCCAGCACAAAGAATAGGGCCTGGCACATAATGGGAGGACGAGAAAAGTCTACCGGACAGACAGATGGACGGAGGGGTGGATGAGTGAAGGAGCCAGGGCCAGCCCGGGGTATGATGGCAGGGGCTCTCTGCAGGCCCGAGCTGGAGAGCTGGGCAGCACGCTGGGGCTTGCTTGCTGCAGGTGCTGAGGGGCTCAGGACTGCCGCTGTCCCCAGCTCTGTGTGTCCTAGGAAGGGGAGCGCAGTTTACCATGTTCTTCAAGCTCCCAGGCTGCAGGGAAGGGGAGGAGGACAAAGTCCTAATAATACGCCTTTCCATTCTCGTCCCCGGGGTGACTATTTCCAGGAAGCTCAAAGACTTTTCTAGATGTGATCGATTGAGTTTCAACAGCCACCCTGAAAGGCTGGTGCTGAGCTAGACAGTGAAGGGTTAGAAAAGGAGAGAGAAGCTGGAAAGAGGTGGAAGGGGCGGACAGGCGCTTCCTCGGGCGCCCCCTGGACTAGTGGATCTCCACCTGCAGCGGCCTCAGCCCCCCCCAGGGCCCTTCCCAGCATGGATGGCCTCTCCCACGGCTTGGGTGGGCCTGAGCATTTGCATCTGGAACAAGTAGCCATGTGGTGTAGACAGTCCGGGAGCTGCACTCTGAGAGCCACCGCCTGAGGTCAATCCTAGGAAGGAAGGGCCAGGAGTGTCCACTGTCCCCACTTTACAGGTGAGGAAACAGAGGCACAAAGAGGCCACGTGAGGTGCTCGGGGTTACCCAGTAGCAGAGTCAGGACTGTGTCCCTCTAGGACCCACTGTGACCCTGCCTCCCTGGGCATTTGTCCCCAGCCTGACTCTCTGAACTGGAAGCCTCCACAGGAACAGACAGACCCACAGACATTGAGGTTAGCACCCAGTCCCACTCCTGGTGGGACTGCTCTCAGGTCTTTTTCCTCCTTCAACCCTCACGTAGCTCCCCAAGCTCTTTATTACCTGCACAAACAAGGAAACTGAGGCCCAGAGACGCAGAGCAACTTGCCCTGAAGCGTGAGACCCCTTTCATTCTCCAGCTGCAAACGAGCTCTTCCCCCAGCGCTGCAGGAAGGTCCGCACACCCCACACCCACACGCGCACGCGCAATCCAAGGGCATTTTCGCTGGGACCCAGCCCTAGAACTGGATCCGCTTTCCTGTGCTTTAGCCCTATTCCAATTCAAGAGCATTTTACTTCAGTGCTAAAAACATCGAATCCTAATTATTTCCTGACCAGGACGGACTGACCACGGGCCTCCCGTGCCTGAGGGCTTTTGCCTCTCCTGCTTCCTTGGGTCAAAATCTGTTTTCTCTTATCCTTAAGTAACCTATTTCACCTGGGGCTTGGGGGTGAGGGAGTTGACTGCCAGACTGTGGGGACCAGCCCCGGGAGTGTCCCCAGTGTTTCCTCCCAGGGGCATCTGCTCCGTCATCTGCAAAGTGGGGATAAAAATACCTCTTGCCTCGGCTTGGTGCAGTTAGGTGAATGTTCTGGAAATGATTCCTTTCCTCTGAATTAGACGAATGCTTTTTTGAAAGTCACCTCAAAAACTTTTTAGAAGCTGGGGAGTCCCGGCCCTCAACAGAAATGAAG